GGCGACTGGTATTGCATCTGAAATGCAGAGCTTGGATTCGACAGACTGAACGCCTTGGCGTTTTTTCTGCTACTCCCGTTCGCTGTTCGTTCTTATGAATCGTTCGTAATGCAGAAGGCAACGTAACGAGAGTCTTTTTGTGCTTCATGCCCTTTGCACGCTCATTCTGCTTCCATTTGCGCTTACTTCTCGCATGAACGTTATCAATAAAACTTAAATCTTAGTTCAGGTTTCATGCATGGATCTAAAAACAAGTAGAGGATCTCAGTGTCAGTTTTGACGACTTATTGTAGTATTGATGAGATGCGGTTGCTTGAAACAATTTCGAGAGGGACTTGTTGCTGACGCCTAGGATGATGACTATTGACACCTACGAAGAACTGTACGCAAGTAATTGGAATTCATCATAACAAGACCAAGACGGCCATCATTTTTGGAGCACCAGAGGAAATCGATCCGTGATACAATCCTGATGAAGCTTTGCTCCTAGCCGTAGAAAATCCTACAATATATAATGCTTAATTTGTCCGTTATGTCTTTATATGTGTGTTTGACCGGTATTTCACAACTTTCTGTGATTTATCCATAAGTATTCAAACTGATGTACATAGTGGGTACGACTGGAACATTATTGGTGCGTGATAGAAAGTGATGTCTGTGACTGTGAAGTTGAGAACTGACAAAGAGCGCTGGAAAGGGAGCGTCACGAAATTCATAACACTGGTCCCAGCAACGGTGCGACGTTGATTCCAGGATATTATACAGGAACTGATGAGGGGAATTAGAACTTAAGCGTTGCCTGATTCATAGCGCCCGTCGCAGTAACAGTAGGGACTTAGATCAGGCCATGCAGGGGATGTGGCGGTAATATTACTGATCGGTCACAGAAAGGCATCGCAGCTGATAGGGGCTGATAGAGGGCTCCCAAACTGGCACTTAGGGAATGGAAGCCAAAATGAATCCCGTATTCGTGATGAGGACCGTCAGTAACCAACAAAGACCTCCCCAGAAACGCATAGCAAGAATGAAACCCATTTTTAAGATCCTTGTATGGACCCTTACAACAAGCAAGAAGCCATTTCCAAAAAGCGCGCCACGACCTGAAAGATCTCGCTTGTTAGCGCCAAAGGTGTTCAAATAGATGATAACGCCGGTAGTGGACAAGATGATTCTGTGAAGGATGACTGTGCTGCTGATTTCCAGTGCACCAGACCACTGCTTAGTTCAGATTCTAGCGATTTTGGGGGTTTATCGTGCCTGGCATGCATGCTGGGAATAGGTGTGATCAAAAAAAAACTACATAAGTTTGCTCAGAAAATCGTTTAGCAGATATGGAGAGCAGATTTGTAATCAGCTTCCAAAGATGCATCGGGTAGTACACATCTCGTCTCATGGCCACATCGATCGAACACATTTTCTGGTTAGGTATGAAAAATATCTTGCGGAATGCTCCGCTCTTTTCTATTACCTCCCGTATATATAGTTTCTTTGGCGCTATTTGACCCTGCGGACAGGACTTTTTTGTCGGAAATTTTAAAAATCCTTACACAGTTGGGAACCCTAGGGAAAGTGGGCTTTAACAGGAGATCAGGGAATCTTTTAAAATTGTCTTATCTGGATGTGTGGTGTTTTTTCGAAGGTGAAAACAAAAAAAAACATCGATTCCATAACGAAGGGATCTCTAAAAATTGCCACTAGTTCAAATAAATTCAACGCAATACAGAAAGACGAAAGCCGGTACTTGAGACACCTGCTTTCCTTTTCCTCATCGATCTATTTCGAATAATGTTCTGGTTACCCAGAGAACGGGTGTTCACCAAGTTCCCCCACCCCCCCCCCGCCCTTCGTTCCCCCATTTTGCAAGTTTTTACAAAATAACGCGCTCCAATTTTACGATAAATGCGCGTATTTATCGTTCTTCACATATTTTCACTTCAGGGCATTGATTTATTGTTTGTTGGGGCTGCGGGCATAAATCGGAATTTGCCGAGTGCGCTCGTGCTCAACAACAAGGCGCCCCTGATGTGAAGAGATGTACAGGGGGGGGGGTAAAAAAAACATTTCGACCGAGTCACATATCAGCAAAGTTTCCGCAGCCTAGACAGGGGACGTGGATACGAATACCAGGGCGCAAGATACCATGGATAGCTACCTGGAGACCAGTACTCTCAATCTGGAAGACCTCCAGCATCGAGCAACTCCGACAACGTCGCTGCGGTCCAGGATATCATCTTCCCCTCAGTCGCCATGGCGCCAGTTGATGGTGGGCGCCGGACGTACCTGGAATGGAGAGACCCATATTTTCTTCGCGCGCCCCGGACTGAAGGTGAGCGCTGGCGGACATCGAGCAACTAAAGAAGAATATCCTCTCACATGTCGTTGCCCCTACCTTCTTGGAAACTTTGTGCTGCTACAGGATTGGGTGACACCACATGGAATCAAAGGGCGTTGGGAAAACTCTTGCCTACTTGGAATGGAAGGGCGTACCTGAAGAAGGTGGAATATCCAAGCTGGTCATCTGGCCTAAACCCTCCTCAATTATCTGGTTCGGGCCGAGTTCAGTAGGCTGGTCTACAGTGGCGGAGAAACGACTATCTCAGGCACCACATCGCGGTCGCGTGGCAGAATCTCTCGATGGCGCTCCTCCAGAAGGCTGTGGCGGAGTATCGTGATAGTATTTAATATGCTCTTTAATATGGTAGTAGAAATGTCCGATAAGAATTTAATAAAGTGTTACTTATAGCTCCTCGAAAGTCGAGGAAGAAAAAAGTTTTTTTGCCCCCCCCCCCCTGTAGAGAGTACGTTTCGCTGGGTGAGGCTTAAGCAGTCAGCAATCCATCCCGCAAGGTGAGACGCGTTCAAATCGCCAATGATGTAATTGCTTGATGCAAAAGCTCGACGTTCATTACTTACCTATTGTAATTTTGAACTTGCACTCAGAGTCTCACGAGAAGGATTAGGTACGTAACGACGCTTGCGGCAGCGTTATTATTCCATAACAGATTAGCGGTGGACCAGATCTGTCACCCGATGGAAATCGCGGGGCATTCTAGGGGTGATAGCTTTTTAACGTGTGGGGCTTTTGGGAAACGGAAGGAGGCATGTTGAAGCAGTGGCTCTACTGCTGCGTTTTCTACCTGCTCGCTATCTGAATCTTCACCCATTCGTGAAATATTTCGAATGGGTTACGGACCCATTAGTGGTATATCGCAAACGGGTTTTTCTGCTTCAGACAACAATAACTTCCTTCCAACGCAATCTTTTGTAAAACTGAAATCGTGATCAAAACTCCCAGTATCTCCTCTTTCCAACAAGCTCCACAGTTCTTCTGAAAACCAGCTAGTTTAGAAGATATTTTGGATGAGTCACTCTTCAGCGACATTCTGGGCCTCAAAACCTCGACCCCTTCTCTGCTATTGTAACGCTCCTCGATCGCAATGTAATATGCCTTCGAGACAAAAATTCCGTTGAACTGGGTCAATGCATAAGTTGGTTGTCATCGATCCATTTGGTCTTAGTGTGCGCCGTGCATTACGCTTTTGCGTTGAGCTGTAACTTCTGATTTTAGGTGATTTTTGTCCATGATAGCGATATGTGATTAGGGTTTGGAAAGGTCGATACGCGCGAATTTGAGATTTATTATTTAGTTATCTACGTAATTACGAGTTCATACTAACTAATGGTTGCATAAACTCGTAATTACGTATTATCAACTGTTTGGATATTTACTCTGCAGCTTTCCGTCTGCTCCATCAAATTCAGCGATGACATTTTTGTGCTGCTTGGTGCTTAGCTACCCTGCGTATGCGACCCCCCCCCTCCCCGGCGGCGAAGTACGACTCCCCTTCCGCCGAGTTCCTCGCAACGATACTGTGCCGTGGCTGCACAGAGACCCAAGGGGTCGTGTGACGAAAACTCGTACAGTGAGGCTGTGTACTGTAAGGGAGTGGTTCCGTTAATGGAGTTCTTGGAGATTTTTTTTGCTTTTTCTTCTTTGAGGAATCACTTACCAGCTGCTGTTTCGTACTCGGTAACACTGGAGGAAATCTTTTTTTTGTATCGACCGCATTTATGTAGGGCTGATGTTTATTTCCGTTCAGTTCCCATCCGACCAGGGCACAGCATCGTTGTGTGAAACACAAGGGGGGGGGTCTACTTTTGCTTGGGGGAGGGGGGTCGTATTTGTTGGAGCAAATTTATTTTGATAGTTGATTTTATCTTGTGGAAAAGTGGGGGTCGTATTAATTTTTGTTTCATATGTATTATATGCCCACCTGTACACCCGCGGATATACGTTGCATAATCATAATTATTGTATAACCCCCCCCCCGCCTCGACAACTTTTTCGCCGACTAATACTCATGGCTCGGCGACTGGCGAAGAAGATGTCGAAGGTGGGGGGGGGGTCGTACCCACGCGAAAAAATAGGGGGGCGTCGTGGCCTGTACCCCATCAGGAGGGGGGGGATCGCTACTCTCACCGACATTTCGCCTATCCCATGCTGTACCCTATCCGACTTCATTCCCACACTTCTTCGCACGGCCTTTCATTTACCCTTAACTGCACCAGTCCCCTATATCTCCCCCCCCCCAATAGTCTGCTTGATTTGTTTTAAGTATTACGCGTACCCCCGATAGCCGAAAAATCACCTCCCCCAATTGTCGATCCTTCTATACTTCACGCGCCTGCTTACACGTGGTTAGTTCAAGTGTTCGACTTGATCACCTTTGCGGAACCCTTTCTCCGGTAGCTGGCCTTTTTCCTGGCATTAACTAGTTTCGTCTTCTGGGACTAGCGTCTCTTTTATCTGATCTGCATGTGTTCTACGACTTTCTGTTCCGAAAGGACGTTGTACATTCGACGACCCAGCACTTGGATGATAATCTCTGGAATCCACTTGTCCCCTTTTTGATAATTACGATTGATCGAGATTCGCCATCTGAGATGCTTAAATGCTTCCCGGCCTTCTACGAGTCCGCAATCCTTTATACCACCCCTTTTCAAAGGTCTGTACGAATCTTACTTCGCCATCTGAGTTCTGGTGATATGGCGACATTAGGGTCAACTCGACATTCCTTCTCTCGCAAAAAGCGGCGGTCCATCATCGGACACAATCTGTTCAGACAACTCATGACTTGCAAAAATTATTCGTAACTTCTCTATCGCTTTCTCAGCTGTAGTGAGGCCCATGCGGACAACTTTTGGTCATTTGGACTGGACGTCTAACAAGGGATCCCCAGCAGATCGATCCGGCCATTTGCAATGAGATGTATATGGATGAACGTGTCCTGACCGGCTGAATTTAAATCTGCCCTCGGAATGTGCGGAACGATTCTCGGGAATTACGGACCATTTAATCTCTGCTGTGTTCGTACAAGTTCGGAACGATAACTGACTGCGATAAGCAGCCGGTGGGGTAGTGGATAAGCGCACTGCTTCAGAGACACGAGGTCGCATGTTGGAATCCTTGTTTCTCGAAAATTTTTGCTTTTGTGTAAAACTTCGGCTAAAGCTACCTAGTTCTTTGTTTGTTTGACATCAGGAGCAAAAAACCATTTTTAGTTCCTTTTGAGAACTTTTATCATGGCGATAACAGTTTATTAGAGCTTGCATTAAGAAGTGAAAATCTTATGGCGCAAGAGCACGTTATGTGGTATTCTTCCACGAAATGATGGAAACAAAACAAGTTATCACAACGGGACAGCCAATGAAGAAGTGCTCTTGCCCGATAAGATCAGCCCACACGATTAAACCGTAACTGAACTAACCCATAAGGTCTTCATTTCTTAATGCATGCTCTAATAAACGGATAACCTCATATTGTTCTCAGAAGCAACCAGAAATGGACAATTTGCCCGCTCCTGACGTCTCTCAAATCCTGCTCCTGATGTCATATAATCAAAGAACTAGGTAAACTAGCTGAACAGAATTGTTTTTTAGGACTCATATGAAGTGTTTTAAACAAAAGCAAAAATTTTGAAGAGTCAAGAATTCCAACGTGTGACCTCGTGTCTCTGAAGCAGTGCGTTTATCCACCACCCCACCGGCTGCTCGCCGCAGTTACTTATCGTTCCGAACTTGCGCGAACACAGCAGAGATTGAGTGGTCCGTCAGAAATCCCCTCAGAAAATCGTTCCGCAATTTCCGAGGGCAGATTTGAAATCAGCGGCTCAAGGCACGTCCATCTATGTACATCTAATCGCAACTTTCCGGATCGACTTTCCCTTGTAAGAGCAGCCGTTTCTCTTCACTCTGCGTTTGGCAGAAATCCATATGCAACCTTTACCATGTTGCGGGCTTTTCGTACAAGTGTAATGGTGTTTTTGCGGGATCATCAATTACTGCACAGGTTTCACACAGTCTGGCCAACTGGAGTATATCTCTGTCAACTTCAGGATACCATACTTTCCAGCGTGCTAGACTTGCCATCCCATTCCTGCCATAATGGCTGCAATGCAACATTCGCAATGCCTTCTTTCTAAACTTAGAAGAAACTAGGACTCTAATTTCCTACGGAAGGCACCCATTATACATTGATATTGCGGCACTCTTTCACGCAAAGGCTTTCAGCTTCTCTTCCACCTTATGAGGTCAACCGTTTTCAACATATGACTTGAGAAAGTAGTGGAATTTCTGCTGTCCCTACTTTGCTACTTCTTCCTCTGATAAAAGGAATTTCTCAAAATAGCATCGACGCCCTTACCACTGCCCGGTAACATTGCTTTTGGGGGTTCTGGAGCATCGCCGAGCGCAGAGAATACCGGTAGACTCTATTTCATCGGAGCTGCATCTATTCCAGTTTTTACCGCCGGATTCACGCTACCAATGGCTGCTTGATTGCTCTGCGGTGCTGGAAACCTGCTACGATTTCCATGAGTTCCCCATGTCATCCTCTGTTACTGTTCAGAGTTCTACGGAACCTGCCTCGCCTCTCTGCGCTGTCGTAGGGAAATTCTAAGTTCAGGAGTCCCTCAAAGTATTCTTTCTGCCTCCTGCCTTCGGCTGGTTCTCTCAGAGTAGCACCTTTGCAGCTCCTCTAGTTTTTGATTCCCTGATGTCTTGAGAACCGCAGTGGCTTTAGCCTGGCGGAAGGAAGCTTCTCGTACACGGCGTCTTTTTCTGTGTTCTTGGCCTTTGCAACAACTGCTTAGTCATTTGCAGCACTTGTAGGAAGCAAGGTCTTCTAAGCTCCTTTTCTTTCGCCAGCGTTTGTACACTTTTTCTGCTCGACGTTCCAGAAACACGTTGCCTTGGCTCCTCTGGTCTCACCTCGCGTCTCTCCCAGGACTTCCTTCGCACAGGGGTGGCCTCTGCTGCGTTGGTCTAGGTCTCCTGAACTGGTTCTGTGGTTCTGGGAGCCCAGACTCCAGTATTTCTTGACCAAGGCTATCCTTTTCCACTCTGCAAATTTTCCACCACCGACTTTTCCGCTCGCCACCATTTTTTGCAGTTTTTGTTGCAAGGCATGATTTGTGCTTTGGTGGAGATTGAGCGCGCGCCTCAGAGTACAGACATCAGAGTACACTCTCGACCACTCGGCTATCTGCCGCGTTATAAGGACAATTCTGTGGCAGCAAAAACGTTGTGAAATACATGAACGTGAGTTATCAGGACAATCGTAGGGGGCAGTTGAACTCTAGCTTATTGGAGGTATTTATTCATTCATTTATTTAATATTGCACTCAAGGTGCTCCTTTACAAAAAAAGAAACGATCAACTACAGGGGGGGGGGGCAAAAAAGTCACTTCGACCGAGTCACATATCAGCAAAGTTTTCGCTGCCCAGACAGAGGACGTGGATACGAGTACCAGGGCGGAAGATACCTAAGCATGCTCCTGAATAAGAAAGAGCTGACTCTCGCCCATCACCTCCATGTACACCAAAATATGAAGTCATCTCCAGTCGCAGCCTGACTGGAGAAGATCTTTGGAATTCATGTCACCTCCATACAGCGGCGAAACTTCTAGTATGGAGTCACCCATGGATAGCTACCTGGAGACCAGTACTCTCGATCTGGATGACCTCCAACATCGAGCAGCTCCGACAACGTCGCTACGGTCTAGGACATGATCTTCATCACAGTCGCCAACGCCAAGGCGGGGGTTGATGGTATGGACCGTACGTACCTGGAATGGAAACACCAGTATTTTCTTCGTGGACGCCGGACTGAAGGTGAGCGCGTGCGGTTGCATTGAGCAACTCGTGAAGGATATCCTCCTCACAGGCTGTCGCCCGTACCTTTTGGAAACTTTGTAAGAAAGATAAAAAGGAAACTCGCCTACTTGGAATGGAAGGGGGGCTGAGTACCTAAAGAAGATAAAATATCCAAGCAGGTCACCTGGCCGGAATCCCCTCAATTACCCGGTTCGGGCAGAGTTCGATAGGGTGGTCTAAGGTGGCGGAGAAATCGACTATCTTGATCTGAGGCACCGTCGCGTGCCATAATCCCTCGATGGTGCTCGTCCAGAAGGCTGTGGCAGTGTCATGATGTATTTAATATGCTCTTTAATATGGTTGTGAAAATGTCCGATCAGAGTTTAATAAAGTTAACTTATAGGCTAGAAAGTCAATGAAGAAATGTGACTTTTTTTGTCCCCCCTCCGTAGAGTACACGTTAGCAAAAGCGTAAAAGTTGCTCGCCATTGTAACTTTAAACTACGTGCCCATCATTTTGAAGTCGAAAGGATATAGCAGGGAAGGATGTCGCCAAAACAAGTTGACCATTTATACAGATGAGAATTTCTCAACAGTGGTCCACACAGTACTTATGTTTAGTTATTTGAGAGTGATAATATTTGATGAGAGGTCCCGGGCAACGCAACTAAGCGTGGTTATTCCGGCCGGGCCAAAGTAGATGCCTCTTTAATCTAAATTTGAACCCCAGGCGTAAGACCCAGGTCCAGGTAACCAGTTGATAAACGAACTGACACCTGTTGACCTTCATCAACCAGACTGAGTTTTTAAGCGTGATATTAAGAATGTGTTGACAATTTCCGATTCCGTGTGAGTATTGCTGGTCACGGCTTGAGTTGAGGTGAATGTAATTTACTGCTCTATACAAAGATTGTGGGTGATGTACAAGGATAACTTCAGAAAAGGTGGTGGCAAGGGCTTACATGAAGTCAGATTACATGACAACAGTGTTTTTGAAAAAGTAGCGGAGATGCCTAGATAGCGTCCTTCCCCGGATGGGCGACTTTTCTTCATTGAAGCTTATAGCAGTTGAGATTTTGTTCGTGAAAAAAGCAGAAGTCATGAACTGAAAATCTTCAATATTCAGTAGTGACAGTTGATTATACTGTATTCACTTTACTCAGCTTTCGACGAAAAATTGAAGAATTCGGGGAACTCACTAGATCTTTTGGTAGCATTTGTAACCATCTTGCAGTTCGACAGAAAAAGGAGTTGTAAATTTTGGACCAGTGCGGTCTTTCTATCGAACGATGATCTAAGATGAAGTTATTAGATCGCCCAGTACTAGTCCTGAAAACACAGTACTTGCTTGGCTTAAGCTTGGTCTCCATGCGCAATACTCGGAAAGAGAAAACAAGGATATGGTGAATTCTCCTTTAAAACGGAGTTCTCAATCCGGTAAGCCCTAGCCTCTCATTATAATTAGGAATAGCATACGCGGGATGAATGGAGTCATCCATACATGAGAAGCCTTGTGAAAATTTGTTGTACATTTTCGATTGTCATTTGATATTTACGTAAGTGTGGACTCCATACCAGACAGTAGTACTCAAGCTGTGGGATCACATGCTTTATAAAGTCTAAGAAAATTGGATCTGTAACTGCAGTGCACATTTCCAAATATAGTAGACGAAATTTAGAGCTTTATGAACGATTTCATTTATATGATTAGAGAAGTCAATATGAGAGAGGTAAGTGACACCCAAATCTTTCACGAGATTTCGACTCTTTAGAGTAATGTCTTCATACCGACACTGGAAGCAGGGACCACGTCCAATATGGAATACGAAGTACTTTCTTAGATTTATGGGTAGATTCCAATAACGGGACAATTCCATCAACTTTTCAATGGACTCAGAAAGGGCATTGTACACCCCACCGTAGTTTTCATGGTCATAATTTGGTATGCATTGGTATGCGACTGGATGCGATATACCAATGGATGGGTAGGTGGAAAAATTCACCCCTCGTTAATGACTTGTCGCACCCACGATACGAGAATTAACGAGGTGCGAAGGGACCTCATTACGAGGTGCGAAGCGACCTCATTAAGCCAGGGCACGTCGCGCTAACTGCGGTTGGCCTCGGTAAGAGGAGAAGTCATAAAGCTATCCAAATTCACGGCATGAATTCATCGAAAATTTAAGTGGGTGAAAAGGTTGCTATATAGTTATTATTACTATTACAACTATTCAAACAAAAACGTGTGCAAATCGAATAAAAATGTATCATATAGTTTTTTTTTGTAACAAATTGGGACATCTTTTCGCAGTAGGACTCTATTTGGGCACTGGATACTCCCTGCTGATGAAACTCGCTGAATCTGAAAATAATACTTGTCTCGTTAATTGGTAAACGAAGAAAAAGATTTGAAAAAGATCCTACTGCGCCATTTCCTCAGATATTTTATCTTTCCATGTACTCTTTTCGTAATGTCTTAGCGTTCCTAAATTATGATTTAAATTATGAATCAAGGGTGCTGGTGTAGCGGCGGAATACGTACGTACTAATACTGGTCACTAATAATAGTTCTCAACAGATTGAAATACTCACGTATTTCAATCTGTTGAGAACTTTCACTCGATTTGCGCCATTCCTGATAGCTCGTGCGTGCCTCGGCTGACCTGCCTCAGCTTAATGAGGTCCCTTCGCACCTCCTTAACTATGCCTCGAATCGTAGGTGCGTCAAGTCGTTAACGAGGTCAACCGTCCCATTTTACTACACAACTCCCTTGACGGACAAAAATGTCTAAACGCTAGGGGATTCGGGCGTTTTTCTTCGACTCGTTCTTTGAGGGGTTCGTTCTTTATTTGGAAGAGGAATGGCGAAGAGCCACCGATGCAAATGGGATCACCCATGTTCCCCAGAGTATGCCGCTTGCTTTTATGACAAATTTTCAAATAAGCATAAATGTTTCCTCAGCTAGTATTAGCCAAAGCTACCCCAAAAACCGAAAGAGATTTTCCTGTGGAACTTTACCCATAAGGATAATTAGGCTGCGTTTATACTTTGCGGCAGCGTAGCGCTTCCAGCGTACGCCAGCGGCAGTCTGGAGGAAACCTTCTTCCCTTTGGAAGATCCTCACGTTTTTTTTAATTTAAGAGCTTTCACTCAATTTATTCCTGCCACGGCTGACCTGCCTCGGCTTAATGAGGTTGCTTCGCAACTCGTAATGAGGTCCCTTCGCACCTCGTTAATTGTGCCTCGAATCGTAGGTGCGACAAGTCATTAACGAGGTCAATCGTCCCATTTTCCTACGACCCCCAATGGATTGGTCTACAGATATTACTGGAAGATGAAGGAACACATCATGTAGTGAGAGTATAGCAATTGGCATTTGTCGTAGGGTAAATCGTGTTGTCACATCAAGTTATGTTTTATGTTACATCAGGTTGACCCAGCTCACTTGAATAT